CACACACTGATGACTATAAAAAAATTATTATTATTTTGGTCACATAACCTGTTGATATCAAACTTATAGAAATTATTATGCTATATGGAGAAATTGTAAGAACAAATGTTATTTTTTACACTTTTACATAAAGGGGAAGCTCTTATAGTTACATTGTGTTTAACTGTTTAAGATTCCTTAATTTCCACACATGCTTTCAATATATAAAAGAGCTGAAATATTGGTGTTTTTATATTTACAGGTAAAAATATGATATCTAAACATTAAAAGATTTTAGTCTTCCACTGCATTTGTCATTATAAAATGATTTTGAACATCTTTTCCAACATAACCATTCATTTGTATAAAACAATTGTACATGATGTGTTAGTCCTTACATTACAAAATGACATCCCAGAAAAAAAAGATTTTTTATACATTGTTTTTGCCGATTTTTGAAAGGCTGTACAAACTTTTCCAGTATATTTTTGGCTGTTTTTTTTTTTACTCCTGTAATCATCAAAGTATAAGAGGAGAATCCATTCGTGAAAGAAAGGGCATGCCTTTGCTCAGAAAACATTTAACCAGATACCTAATTTAAAAAAAAAAACTGTCGATATTATAAGTATAGATGATACTGTATTTTCTGAATATGGTTTTAGTCATTATAATTGCAAGATACCAGCGGCTACTTGGGATTTTTCAGAAAGTCAATTGCAATTATATCGATTATAATTCCACATAGGAATCACTTTATTGTTTAAATGGAAGAATGATCATATAACTAGGTAATATAATTTTGCTTGAATTTTATTGGCTAAAATTTTACGTTACCTTCAAATGACATTTAAAGATGTCGTTGATTGTAATGTCATTTGTGATTGGTAATGATATATCTGAAGAACGTGTCCGTTTAAGAAAGTGAAATTCTCTAAAATAAAGATTAAATAAAAAAGCATTATTTTAAATGATGTGTTTTTAGGGTATGGAACTGAAAAACAAAAACAAAAAAACAAAAACAAAAAATAACAAAAAAAAAAAAAAAAAACCTCGAAATGTGCTTTCCTCATAACTATAGGTTTTTTATTCAGATTACAGTCGGGGTTTTGGAATGTTACGAACTATATACTATATGAATTAATCTGCTTTGTTTTTGCACGGAAGTACTACTTGTTAAGATATACTTAATTAGTTTTGTAGCAAATTTTGTCATTATTTTGTAAGATGTCACTGCAATTGTTGCCCCAAAACGGACCAATTGGCGTTATTAGTTTTAGACAGATTGTTTGACCTATGACCTCAGATTGTCTTAGACACATTGCGACACCAAAAGAGATATATTTACACACAGTACCATTTGTTGGTAAACACTAGTGTTAATTTGTAATTATCATAAAATACATATAACCAAGTAATAATCCATATATGTAGAGTATAGCCAGTTCATATCATGAATATAGAGTATGTAAAAGATATATTGACAGATGTATTCATGAAAACGCTTGACGAAATATTGTATGGTGTATTCAAGGATATAATTTGTAAGTATTGGTTTGAATAAATGTCTGTAGGTAGTGCCAATGCATAACGAAGATTTCTCATGACAATCAAATATACCTTCAGCTTCATATCGCACAAAGAAATGGAATATTTTTCAATGTAATCATTACGATTGTGAATTTCCTCCACAATCTCCATCAACCTGAATCACTTGAAATCCTATGTCGCGAGTTTGTCAGGTGCCTACATTTTGCACGAAAATTGTGAATCAATTGTGATGTGTCAACCCCATAGTTTCTGATGTAGGAACGTTGCTCTCCAGAAAATTAACGATAGAGAAATTGAAACTATCATCCTTGTCATACACCTTGGTGGAAAGCGGTTCAAATAAGGTCATGGCATATTTCCGCTGACAACATTGACAATAAATATGAAAATAATCAATATTGAATAATTTCTGGTATAACTTTTGACGCAAGTGATATACATAACTTTACAGAAGACAAAATAGACGATTGATTTAAATGAGATTATAATAAGCTGATAAAGTGATTGAAGCTGCTCTTTTAAAATATGAATGTTATTAAAATCCAGCAATCTTACATAAGAGGGTCCATTGATTTTGGAGCTAGTTGATTACTGGTGGCTAAATACCTGTGTTACTCCTGTGAATTCGTAGTTTCAATAGTTTCTGGGGTAAGTGTATCTAAATATACTGGGGATACGTTCATCCTAGACTATGTGTACAATGTTCCATCTATGAATGAATATGTGAGATGAAACACGTATTAACATGATTACTAAAGAAACTACAAAATTACGTAAAAAATCGCTCACAAAATCTAGTGAGTGGCTAGATCAGTTTGGGTCCCCATCTGTTAAAGTTATGGACTCTTAACAAGTCAACGTTATCGCACAAGACTACAGTTATCTTAAGCAATCACCTATATCAGAAAAGTATCGAAAGTCAAAATTGAACTTGCTAGACAGCTTATGAACGAAACGTTATTTTTCAATTCTGTATGTCTTTTAAGTAAAATTAATGAGTTTATTTACTCGATACGTATCTGTGCTATATCAGTGTTCCCTAAACCCCCATATTCTGATTTCTTCAAGAAAATATTAATTTAATGGCTGATGCATCATATTAAAACTTTTGACACATCCGATTTCCTGTTAGGTGAGTTAAGCAGTTTAATCAGGTACTGTAAGTACATACTGTAAAATTCCGTTTCATGGTGCTTTGATTTCGTAATTTTCCTAAAATACAAATTTTCGTTGACACTTGATTTCGCGAATAAATCTTGCACACGAAATCCATATAAACTTTTATCTGTTTATAATCTCAGTATATAAATTCATGGATATAGAATACTAATTAATTCGATGAAAATAAATATCCCAAGAAAATTAATAGTTTTACACTAACTGAGTTTCTTTATGCTGATTAATTACTAAAAAGATTGTAAAACAGAGATTCAAAATAACAATAAAGAGCAACTAATAAATGCAATATATGGACGAACTATAAATAGGATTTTAAAATCCAATGGTATAAAATCAATAACAACATATGGACACTAGCACCAGAAAAATGATTGGATTCGCACTACGACTTGTACCGCCAACCACAATCATGAGCTGTGTATATTTGTTTTGTCAAATAAAACACTTGGCATTCGTGTTTAATTTTGTGAATTATTTGTATAGACTCGTTTTCTCAACTAAAAACCAATACCGTATTACAAGACTAGGTGGTCTGTAAAACTCGATTATGAACTGTACTGAAGCATCACGTTGGCTGAAATGTTTTTAAAACAAACTTATTGCAGCGTTTATTAGAAAAATTAAAATCTACGGAACTAGGGTAAAATATGAGCAAAGGAACGATTCACATGGAGAATTACGAAAAAGTATAGCGAGATTAAGAATAATTATTTCTAAAGTGTAAGCATTTTCTGTTTCGTCGACACCCGTCATGTAAAACATGTGTAACCCTGGTAAAATACTAGCCGCAATATACCACTCGGTTACTAGTCTTTAGCTCGACTGGTCGAGCGTCAGACTAGTAAGCCAAGGGTTCTGGATTTGATTCCTAGCGGAGGCATTGAAATAAATAATTACCTCTGTTACACTTTGCCAATCCAAGTAAGTATTGTCATCTTCGTAAGGAGAACATATTTTTCATTGTTATTACCATAAATCTCTTGTCAATATGGAAATGGTGAACAAACCCAAGAATATCGAATCAAGTGCGATATGTCAATACCATAAGTTGGGAAAAGCAAAGTTGTCCCTGTTGGTCTCGTTGTAGTGAAAAGGGAAAGATCCACATAATCAATTGACATATAAAATTCTGATTTCCATTCTTCTTAGATATATACGATGCACATGAGCAATAGTTTCCTGTTATCTAAAGGATATATATTGTAACAGATGTCATTTTTCATCTCAGTGCCTCCGCTAGGAATCGAACCCAGGACCCCTGGCTTACTAGTCTCACGCTCAACCAATCGAGCTAAAGAGAAGTGGTATATTGCGGCTAGTATTTTACAAGGGTTACATACTCGCCCTCTAGGAATTAACTCGTCCTCGAGTTTCCAGGGGTTACAGCGATGCTAGTGGGGCATGACTAAGTACTATTCCCGGGTCCCTACATGGGCGCCAATATAACAGAGGTCATTTTTCATCTCCATGCCTCTGCTAGGAATCGAACTGAAGTTCTCTTTAGCCGAGTGGTATATTGCGGCTAGTATTTTACCAGGGTTACAATATTATCAACCTGTCAAAAAGTGACATTTACTGTTGCTTAAGATACAATATACTAATTTTTTGACAAATTGTAATTGAAATGCATCACTATCAGCCCACGGATTTCAAGGAAGAATAAGCTACAGAGACTTTGCTATAAACAAGTTCTATTACAACTAAACAATGCATCTTTAGAGTACACATTTTTGACAGAGTTTATATATAATATGTTGTAATATTTCAGTTTTTAAAATATTAACTCTGCTGGCAATATTCCAATGTACTTGCAAGTTTGCAATTAACTTGTTATTCAACATTTATATCTTTATATACTGATATCTTTTATCTAAATTTAACTTCAAAAGTTGGTTACTTTTAGAATTTCAAAATCAGTTGATACCTGTCAACAATATAAAATATGTAATATAGAAAGATAAGATAGGCACAAATAGTAAATTTAAAGTAATAAGTGTTTCATCCATAATACTTGCAATGCTGGCAGATTGTTTGTCGTCATCAAAATGTAACCTTATATTTTTGTATTTAAGACACGTTGGTACGTAAAAGTATATCTAAAATAGAAAACAAGTCCAGGTTGCATTTCGGGTGATATGTGACTAAGATATAAATACGAACATGAGATTATCTAATTAAACTGTATTTACGTTTAATCATGTTTCTTTACATGTCAGAATGTCAATCAGACAGTGGGCCCTATATATACAACGATACTGCCTACAATTCAGATGTCCTAGGCATACCACAACATTATGGCGGTTCGTCTAGTCATTGTCCTGCTCGTTGCCTTTGTTGCAGTCTCCTTGTTCAGCGAAACATCGGCGTAAGTATTTCATTTTATATTCTGTTAATTATTTTGTCTCTGTTATATTTCACTAACACTTTATATTGCGAACGCAATGATAAAAGTGTTGTATACATTTAATCTTATATAGTTAAAATGATAATATTTATATGCTTGTGCGTTTTTTGTACAGTCTGTCTTTGCAAATCTTAATAAAAGGCATATTAGAGATTCTTGATCAAGAAGGAGGATTTTAAACGGAAGCTCGATTTTGCCTTATTGCCTTCTTGCCTTCTTGCCGATATTGAGTGACTGTGATATTTTCGAAGCTATTTTTTGTTTGCTAATTACTTATTTATTGAAGCGTCTGTGTCCCGATGACATATAATAGTGTTATTGAAACATCGAAACTAAAAATGTACATTTTAATGCATGATGTTCTAAGACTATCCAATAACCACTACTAAAAATAGTAACGAAATTGATTGGTTGAAACACCTCCATAATGCAGTTAACTTCGTTATCTGGCATTTGTATTGAATGGTGCTTGTGTGTCTCTAATATTTTATTGATTTAACGTGGTGCACACTACTCGTAAAATATAACAATAAATCAATTATGAAATTTATTCAATTTTGGGGTAAATGTACCTCTCTATCTGAATGTTGACATTTATTTCGAATAATCTAATTACGAAATGTAATTAATACATCGTAAATATATTCCGAGATACTAAAGTCAGAAATTGCATGTTACCAAAAATTAACGAAAAAGACAGGCGTCATGCTGTTGTCCTAAATAACAGTTCACGTTTGATCGTCTTTCAAATTGACAATTGTGCCTTCGTTTTTCGACTCTATTGTATCTAATACTTAATTTATTTTCAAAGTTGCTATTCTCTTATGTGTCATTTGTGCAACCTGCATACGTATAATAAAAATATGAGTTACTTATGTCGTAGTACATATTCTAAGGGTTTGAAATGAAGTTTTAGGATAAGTTCATCGGCAAATTTAATATAGATTTTGTATTTTTGCATATATAGTTTAAATATCATCATTTAAGTTTGTTTATATTATTGTCAAAATTCATTTATTGATGTAGGATAACAACTTTAAAATATACCAGAAAGTTACGTAGTTTTCCTCTTTAAGGTATAAACATATCACCATAAGGTATCACCATATCACTATAAAGTAAAAACATATCACCATAAGGTATCACCATATCACCATAAAGTATAAACATATCACCATAAGGTATCACCATATCACCATAAGGTATCACAATATCACCATATCACCATTAGGTATAAACATATTACCATAAGGTATAAACATATCACCATAAGGTATCACCATATCACCATGGGGAATCACCATATCACCATAAGGTATCACAATATCACCATATTACCTTAAGGTATAAACATATCACCATAAGGTATCACCATATCCCTATATCACCATAAGGTATAAACATATCACCATAAGGTATAAACATATCACCATATCTCCATAAGGTATAAACATATCACCATAAGGTATAAACATATCACCATATCTCCATAAGGTATAAACATATCACAATTAGGTATAAACATATCACCATAAGGTATCACCATAAGGAATCACCATATCACCATAAGGTATCACAATATCATCATATCACCATAAAGTATAAACATATCACCATAAGGTATCACCATATCCCCATATCACCATAAGGTATAAACATATCACCATAAGGCATCACCATATCACCATATAACCTTAAGGTATCACCATATTACCATATCACCATAAGGTATAAACATATCACCATATGGTATCACAATATTACCATATCACTATAAAAAGAATGATCTAGGAATGTCGTGGTGGTAAATTGGTTATGCAATCTGGAACTATTTTGGCTATGCAATTTGGCGATTTCATGATTTCGAGGCCCAGACAGGGCAATAATCAAAGACTTTCTTCGTTAATTGTGTTACAATGTCCAAAATATCAACAAATTAAAACTATGTATCAACTATGTTGTTGATCCGAAGGTTCCAGATATGACTTACCTGTTGTGATTGTAGATTTATATGGTATATGCATTCTTATAAACATCCAAATATCCAAAATCACGATATCTTTCATATCTTTCACCTGTGTATTTTAAGTCCATTATTATACCATGTCGACTGTCCACCACCGTGATAGAAGTCTATTGGTTTGAATTACTAAGGCGAAACTGAGTGTTAAGGGGATTGTTATGGAATAGATATCTCAATGACTTCAATATGTAGACTGGATGGATTGGAAGAATATATAAAGTGTTGGACAATAGTTTACACACACACACACACACACACACACACACACACACACACCACCTCTCTCTCTCTCTCTCTCTCTCTCTCTCTCTCTCCCTCTCTCTCCCTCTCTCTCTCTCTCTCTCTCTCTCTCTCTTACACACACAGAGACACACACCCTCACACACCACCTCTCACATACCCACTACAAATACCACCACCCGCTAACACACCCACCAACACACACATTTATATACTTCCAGGACGAAACTGGCAAATCCTGAAACAAAGACGGAAAATATAGTTTTTTCTCTAATGTGTTTATTTTGGTTTACTTAGTAGTGTTTTCTAATTCCAAACATCCTTTTTAGGTGATGTCGGGCTAGTGTAGTTAATCAGTCAGTTGTTGAATTTCTTGGCTAGGAGATTTGGTGCTGTAGATCGCGAGTTCGAGGCCCGGATAGGACACGAGTTTAAAATTGTCGTCCTTCGTTAGTTGTGTTAAAAGTTCAAATACAAATATATCATTTATGTTCTATAAATTCTCTTTTCCTGTCTCTATCTCGCCTCTTTATCCCCGGCACCCTCTTTCCTGTTACCTTCTCTTACTATATTTGTCATATTCACTCAACATTCGCCATTCGAATATTTTGTTTTTATTAAGAAGATTACTAATTGATTTTGATGTAACTCGTGTCCAGTCCTTTTTGCTTATAGATAATAGAAAAATGTGTACGTATCATCACTTGACAAAAAATCCCCGCACAAAGGTTGATATAATTTCATTTTGTTATTGTAGTGCATGGTGTCCGGCAACAAGAGCATGCAGTCAAATACAATATCGAGCGAGAACCCAACCGTATAGTTGTGGCTGGTTTGGTTGGTACACATGTTATAGACAAATGTGAGTATATATTAAACTCTAATTCCGAGGAGCCCTTTGTAACAATCGTGTAAATACTTATTTAACATAGAGCAATCCTCACTTTGCAATGTCATATATAACACTCTTGATACTTGTTTGATAAAATAATGTATTTGAAAATATCACTTGTTAACACATATACATCGATCATACAAAAGTTTTTTGACGAAATTTAAAATTCTGACCAATCAGAACGGTTCCTTCTATTCAATAAGATTTTTCTGTTCACACACAAATAATTTACAGTTATAACTGCTGATGCATTCACTTCTTTTTAGATTATCTTTTTGGTAAGCGGTTCTTCTACTAACAGGAAAGCAACTGATATTTATATCAGACATACTACTGAATGAAGATATTTAACTTCTTCGTTAAGATGTCACTTTTCATTCAATATGTATTTACTTATCCATGTGCTTGGCCTCATTAGCAATATATATACATGTCATTTTGTTTTGCTTTCACAGAACCGAATCCTACTATGTAACTAAAATATGTCACACGACTGTTGAATGTGGTAAGTTGAATAAAGGATATATCTTCACTTAAAATGATTCACTTCTCAAACATTCATATGTAATCTTGTAGCAACTTGTATTCATGAAGTTTTCGTATACATTTTTTGTTGAAACGTTGTAGCTATCTCCTCATATAGTCAGAAAAAAAATTGTTCCGTTACAAGGTTAACAAAATCGAATTGATAAGATTTCGACAACTAACAAAATATAGTGATTTGATTATTTATTCATGACATCATTATAGGGATGAGTAACAAAATCACCTGATTTTAACTGTATTGATACAAAATATGATACGGATATAAGAAAAGTTCTTACTTTTTCTCATCTCATAAAATTACATCTCCTCGCCCTATATCTGTGACTTATACAGTGGTAACTAAATGCATGAACATATTGTGAAAATATATACATTTGTATACCATACAAAAAGAGAATGTAAATGAACATATCAAGAGAAGAAATCTAGCGTAGTATGTCAGACTGGAGGGATAAAAATATATGTATTGTTTTGTTTTAAAGCAATTCAATAATATTAAACACGACTTGTAAATTGTCTTCTCGGTTTCATAACTATTTGAGTCAGCTATAAACAATTCAACACTTTAATCATATATTAACGACACGGTACGTCATAAGGTTTTATTTAGATTTTTAGATTTTAAAGGTCATGAATCTATAGTTATATGATAATAATAATGCTAATATTATGCAATATTAATATAGCGCTCTATACTGTTAAAAAGGTCAGCTCTAAAACGCTTTACAAGCCAAGTTTTAAAGACCTATCTCTGCTATTTAAATATACAAAATACATCGCATATACATATATGATAGTACAAATAAGTTTTGGGTAAATTTCGGAAGAACCAAATACTATCACAAAGTAATTAAAACACAGTTAAACACTATTTACACATCAAATACACGTTTGAAGAGATGCGTTTTCAGTTTGGATTTGAATATAGTGAGTCACATTTACGCATAATAGATTTAGAAATGTTTGAAAGATTTTGAAGATCTATATGTAATATCAATTTTATTTCATAGCCAAAGTGTAGAAGGAAGAAAGGAAGAATTCGTTTGAGTTTCTTACCGGTTTGTCCAGCTGTTGGTAACAAAGAATTTAAAAAAAAAGTCTGGAGCTAAACCATGTTTCATTTGATGCAATAATCGTAATTTCTTTAACCAATAGTTTAATAGTAATTGAAAAGGTAAGCATATAGTTGCTTATTCCGTCATGCCCAGACGCCTTACGTAATCTGAAAATATGTAGTATGTATTTCAGATGACGTTACCCTTAAATTCAAGATCTGATCATTTATATCAACAACAATAACAATAAGTATTAAAAACATTGGCCTTGTCGCCATCTTCTGTAACTAAATTACCTGAAACTGGGGTAATAATACTAAGAATACATTGGGAATCCCCTGCTGATTTCCTAAACATTTTAATTGATTTCCAGTATTGTTTTATGTCAGAAGTCAACTAGACCATGAAAATTTTCATAAAAAACTTTGTCAAAAATACTGGGTTGCTCTGGTTATGCCAATCTAGCTTGTTTATTTACATCGTTTTTAAGACCAACATTTGCAATTATATCCTACAATGTATGACGTCAGGTTAATGTGAACATATCAACATTCAATTCATAACTTATAACTATATTAAGAGAGATACCAAGCGTTTTCTCGATAGAAGAGTGCAAATTTTGTTAGAAAATATTGACATCAATTTCAGGTCTGTATATATCAGGAGAACAGAATATTCTAATTCAATTTTAGTCCAAATTGCTTCACCTCCAAGAAATTCCAACTCACGGAGACGTGTATGAGAATAAATGAAATGGAGTATGAAAGCCTTCTACATGTAAATGTCATACTCTTCTGCTGTGTCTTCTAAATCATCCATTTTATTTCAACACTTTCTTCTTTATTTAAATGAAGTATTGATACTTATTTCTGATCTTGATTAAATTCAATATCCATGTGAGAAAGCAGTAACAAAATGAAAAACAAACTAAATTCAATATTGAGAAATGATGCATTGATAAATACTACAATATATTCATATGCATTCGTAGCCTACGAGTACCTACGAACTCAAAGAAAATAATTTCCTTAAAAATGATTTCACAGTGTTCTGAGGGACGCACCTTAAGGGTTAAGATTGGAATGCTTTTATAAGAAGGTTTCAGGAATGATTGTTAGGAATATTCTTGAGAAATTTCAAGAGTAGGAAAGACTAACGATAAAACTGGGTAGATCATCTGATACTTAATTCGTTGTCATGTCTAATGCTGTCATTGTGATTACCAAATATGCCCATGATTAAGTAGGAATAATACTATCTGTATTTCCTTTTTCTTCTTTTAATTAACATTTCAAAATGAGTTTCTTTGTAATTTTTTTCTATAAATAATTTTGGAGACCCCAATATCTGTTAACATATTCAAATTGTCTAATAAACTTAAATTTTTGTATCTGCACACTATTTCTGTCAATAGTAAATTGTGTGCGTGATCTAACTATGCAAAACACAAACGTAGAAACGTCAAATTATTTCTGAAAGATCTCATTTCTGTAGTGGATAAATACTGGGGTGAGAAGGAACATCTCGTTTTATAAAAACAACAATAAATTCTGTATTCGATTATTTGTATTTTGTTTGTTCGTTTTTTTATTTTGTGATCTTTTTGTTCTTTTGTTTTGTTTTTTTGTTAATTTTTTTCATCAAGCTCTTACGAATTTTTCGAAAACATGATTTAGTCGTTTTGCTGCCAAAAACGGTTGTTTCAATTCAAAATTTCACTTTATTGACCAAACTGTAACTACTTCATCATCCGATATCCAATAGCATAAACTTTTATAATTACAGGTCACTGTGAATGGTCAGATTGGCAAGAGGCTGTGTACAGCATATGCTCGGAGGAGTGTGGTGGAGGTATCCAATCAGGATATGAGACAAGGACTATAGCGAAACATGCATACAATGGGGGAAATCAATGTACCGGAAGTAGTAGTCGGTTCGTTAGCCGCTCATGCAACACACACCATTGCCCAAGTAAGAGAATCGACTTCTGGCAGTGAAATTCTTTAACTAAACCAATATAAAAAGCTTTAGTTTTTGTTTTGCTGTTGCACAATAATTCTCCGAACTTTATAAAAAAAATTAAATCTGGGCGGTATTATTGCAAAATCTATTTCAAGTTTCAAATTTGAAACATTGACAATGTTTCCATGGTTTTCACTTTCGATGTTTTACCAAGAATTTGGAGAAGTTACAAAGTATTATGATTACTTTTTAAGGGTTTCATTTTTCACGATTTATTTCATCTTTAAAAACAACAAAATGTAAAACCCCTTGAAAATATAAAACCGTTACAGTACACTAAACAGTTACAGAATATTAGTGTGTTGTAACGGTTAAATGTGCTGTAACGGCTAAGTGAACTGTAACCCTTACAGTAAAATTAACAGTTACAGTTCACTTAGCCATTACAGCACATTTAACCGTTACAACACACTAAACATATACAGTACACTTAAACGTCAAAGTACATTTAACCGTTACAACACACTAAACATATACAGTACACTTAAACGTTACATTTAAGTTACAACACACTAAACATATACAGTACACTTAAACGTCAAAGTACATTTAACCGTTACAACACACTAAACATATACAGTACACTTAAACGTCAAAGTACATTTAACCGTTACAACACACTAAACATATACAGTACACTTAAACGTCAAAGTACATTTAACCGTTACAACACACTAAACATATACAGTACACTTAAACGTCAAAGTACATTTAACCGTTACAACACACTAAACATATACAGTACACTTAAACGTCAAAGTACATTTAACCGTTACAACACACTAAACATATACAGTACACTTAAACGTCAAAGTACATTTAACCGTTACAACACACTAAACATATACAGTACACTTAAACGTCAAAGTACATTTAACCGTTACAACACACTAAACATATACAGTACACTTAATCATGACAGTACATTAAGCCATATAGTACATTAGACAGTTACAGGCCATTTAACCGTTACAATACACTAAACAATTACAGTACACTAAAACGTCACAGTACATTTAACTTTTTAAGTACACTTATTCGTTACAGCAAAATAAACCTTTCCAGTACACTAAAACTTTAGCGATTTAACCATTTCTTTGAATACATGGACAATGTCACTGTAACCACAAAGTTATCTTTTCTCATTATTTCCCATAGCTGAACTTGCACTGATATTTTCCCTCCTGGAGCACTCTGTCTTACTATTCTTGTACTTTCAAGTGTCTGGTATTTTGCCCTGTTTCATCGAGTTTGAGTTTAGGTTTCATTAACAGACATGTATAACTTTTAAAGTATTTTTACTTAAACAGTTATTACTTTTTCCTTTTTTGATTGATAACACAGTTACGATATGAAAATATTTTCATCAATTGGTGATATTTTATTCTGATATCATTTCAAGAATCAAACAATAGAGATCGTCTTGTACCAAATAATCAAACTTTATCATTGATAACTAAAAGATTAATATTGATAGCGCATTTAGATTTTGACTTATCTCCTTTTTATCACTATGAATTTTCCTCAGCCTCCTCACAGGCTTGAAAACTTAGGCCCTTAGCATCACTGACGCTACCTAGAAAGAATTAATGAACAAGTACGAGATATGAAATTGAAGCAACAAAGAAAGTATAGTCATGTCAACAGAATCTTAATTGAAATTCAATTAATATGAAACTAGGGCAAAATACAGAGGAAAGATTCACGCGGAGTAACACGTGATCCCGAAGAGTGTCTTTACCAGCGATGAAAATCTTGGTCAATGCATGTAGGATTGTCAGGATTAACAATGGCTTAAATAAACAAGGTTACAAACTCTTTAATACTAATGCCTGTTCCTACAGTTGATGGCGGTTGGTCAGATTACTCCGAATTCTCTATCTGGGGCAGTTGTTCTGGAGATTGCTTCCAGAGTAGAAACAGGAATCGGACATGCGACAATCCCAGACCTCAGTACGGTGGAAATAAATGTGATGGGGAACCAATGGACGTTGAAACTAGAGACTGTTATGAAGGACAATGTCTAGGTCAGCAAAAGTATTTTACTACAGTGTATTTTTACATCAGCACACATAAATCATGTTTTGTGCCTTATGTTCCGATTCTAATTGATTTTATCGCGTAATACAAAACCATTCAATTTTAGACGTCACAAATCCATTTTAAACGGCTAATTCGTTCGCACTGAATATCTTAGTAAACTTAAAACGCAATAGAAACCGACAGGATGTTAGAATTGTTATAATTCTGTAATAAGTGTTTAATTTATCGAAATAGAGACTTTTCGCAGGAAACTTAAACCCAGACATGAAAATTTTCTTGAAACTGGCTTTCCAAGAAAAAACCTTACGTATAAATTTTATGTTACGTCCTTTGTTACAATGATGAAAACATACGTAATCTGTATTTCTTTTAGACGAATCGTGTAACAGCCGGAGGAGGCCCACTGATCCACATGCTTTGTTGCCACGCAACTGTAAACAGTATGTGTCATGCAGTCATACCCATACTGTGATGAATTGCAGCGAGGGTACTAACTGGAACCAAGAGCTCGTCACGTGCGACCACGAACATGTGGTTGGTTGTGATGACGACAATGGTCAGTATTAATTGAGTATAAGTATGTTCAGTATGAGCATAGATAATGTGAATATAAATAGTGATATTCCGAACAAGACATTATCCATTACCTAAGCTATACAATTTAACGATGTCGATATTTCTTATACGATATCGCCCACATCACTAGATTCTTGTCACTTTCTTGTCTTTATACAATTCCATATGGTAAATATTTAATGTTACTTAGCTTAGGATATTACATGTTCCTTTCGTTATAAGGCATAACAAACAGATTTTATGTCATTAATTTAAAATGTTTATGATACAATACTGTCAATCCTTTCTTCAGTTTTTATCCCTGATGTTATTAACTATAAAGGTTTTATGCCACATTTGTCTCATATTTTATCAATCATTTAAAGTACATAACAATATTCTATCTTATATTCAGTAAAAAATATCACCGTTTCCAATGTTTGAAGAAGATGTGTTTTGTATTATCTAAATAGAAACAGAAGACGAGCCTGAGCTATGCACCGATGGTGAATTCATATCGGATGAGGAAAACCCCAGTGTCTATTACCGATGCTCGCATGGCGTGGAAATACAAATGACATGCCCATCTCCTCTTATCTTCAACCCCGAAACGCATGGCTGTATCTGGCCTCTCCAAAAGTGACAATTCTAATGACAACATAGATTCTCCTAATCGAACACTTACGTTTTGTCTTTTAACTTGCTTATTCCTCTCTTTTGTGTCTTCAGTGCACATACGTGTGTGGAATGGTTAACAACAAAGGTGGTAAAGAATGCGTACGATAGCAGTTTTACTTATATCTTTCAAAAGAGGTGATATTTAGGGCATCTGGTAGTTTCCTTTTCAGAAAAAAGAAAAAGATTTTGATATAAAACTCTGCATATTTATTTTGAAATATATGCATGTTAAACAAAAACATATGAAATAATTCTTCGCATGACTAAGGCTTTCGCGGTATCATCGAGTAAAGTATATACATGTAGAATCTAGCCTGGAAATGTTAGCAGGTTTTTCTTTCTTTCTTGAATGTTGTAACGAATCTGTATTTCTGCTTTCCTTTCAATAAAATCCTTGCATTTTAGTTAATGTTGTTGTCTCTTTTTTCCGTTTAAAATTTTGAAATATCTTTGCTTAAAATGCACTTTACCAGACCATGTTTTACAGAAACCCTTTCCTTGATAAAATTATTATTATGACGTGATCTTAATAACTTGAAATAGCATCTATTCTTTCCTATAGGTTTTACTGTCTGGTAAAATTATATATATATATATATATATATATATACATTATATTTAATTTTTAAGCAATCCAATCTGAGAGAACTTTTACGAATGCCAATCCATTAGACTTTCTATCATAGATATAAAAACTTTCAACGTGATACAGAAATAGTTCCCATAACGAGCGTCAGCGCAACGAACAAGCAAACATGTGTAAGATGAATGACACGGGTCTGCTTTTTATCAATTCCTATTTTAGGTCATCTGATCCGAAGGGTCTTTGCATCATATGTATTATGATATTACTAAAGAATGTATGAAAAAAGCACAAGTAAATTATATTTTTTAATATAGATTCAGAATAACACAGAGTAGAACCAAATTATGAAGAGCTGAATCATACAATATTTCGCCTTTTAGAAATCGACATTGAGGCTGAGGGAAAAGATTTTTAGGTGCGACATAAGAAAACCAAATTTGTCAAAATCAAGATAAAAACTCTGACAGAGGGAATGAAATAGAATGCATAGGAAATCACCAGTAAAGATTATGTAACAGTCCAATTTAAACTCTGTTTATACGAATGTTTGTAAAACTCATTGAATGAACTGAATTTGGACTCTTCATTTCACATGAGATATATGAGACCCGTCAATCATGATTCGATTTTACCTCGCCAGCGTCAGACGTCGAACCATCATATCGGTCATAAGACTAGTGGCGAAGGCATTTTCAAAACAAACTATACATTTAGGTTTAGTTTTCTAGATATTTTCATGGTCTTAAGCACCACGAGGAAAACATATGATATTTATAATGAATATGTAAATTTGTTTAGGTTTACTATTAATGATATAGTATGGTGAGTGGTGAGATAGTAATAACACGTTTGTGTCAAAGGACTGCAGTATATAATAATTTGAAAAGCAAATAGTTTCTAGACAAGTATCACTTCAATGGAAACATTTAAGTAAACATATTGTCACTTATTACGTATATTTTTTACCGGAACCAGATTGCAGTCTGTTACAAAACGTCTGACTGTATAAGTATTGCTGTTTTTTGTCTGATCATGGCTTTTAAATAATATGAGTATCAAACAGTTGATATTGTTTGAAAGGATTTGATAATGATTTGACAAATACATCCTAGTTAATATGTTGTTAGTTATTTATTGAGGAGGTAGATGGAATTCTTTCCAGTGTTATTGAAGAAAAAATATTAACCTAGCAGATAGTCATGTTGACACGCTGATTTTATTATTTAGCTTTCCTCTGGAATGCATCCAAACATCTAGCCAAAGTAATGTCATTGTTAAAAGAACTAGATAGACTTTCTCCCTTTACTTACAGACAAATGTATATAGATAACGTTGCCCTTTACTCTGTAATATTACCGCTGTTTTTTCACTTCTTTAGTGTCTTTATTATCATTATCATGGAAACAGAAATTAATAATGTTCGTGTGAAAGATTGGTGACAAGTTGTGTATTGCTTTTGGCACATTGATTTTGCGGAAATAGTTTATTTTTACATTTTGAAATACTGAATATTGTTTATGAGAAAAGTAACGTATGACTTATTGATTTGTTTTTACGCCAATTTTTTTTAAATTTCACAACAAATTAGTTTTTTCAGCTTATAATAATCGCTCATAATGCTTAGTTCTTAATACTAAGATTCAAGTAAACACTTGATATCTTATATGTGTAAATATCTACACAAATTGTGAAGTTGCGTGGAGAATAACAATCATCCATGTATGCATAAATTATATTTTATATATGCGTCCATAAATCAATAAATCAATCTTTGTTTCGTTACAAATATGAGTAGGTTTATCATAACAGTACATCATAGGATTGAACAGGATAAATAAGATACACGTTAGCATGCCTTAATATCTATATCTTCCAGGTTAAAACCCAAACATGTCCTCCCAGTATAATAATAACAACATTTTTTTGTCTTTAGTCTTTGCTGTCCGTTCTTCAACTTTTAAACATGTCAACATAATCATAATCCAACTCAATTTCCATAAAACTAGGATAAAATATCAACAATCGAATGATTTACACGGAAACTTCCGAAAACGCATTCTGAGGATAAGGCAAGGTGTTCCGGAAGAGAAAGCGTCTTCATTAACGGCACCCGCCATGTAACTCTTCATCAAACATGTCCAGCTTCATATCACAGAAAGAAATGTATAATATTTCTCAAAGAGATCACTACGGCAACACCTGGTGTCAGAAATTTTCCGTCAGTTGACGGCTGATTGGAACAGACAATTGAACACCATAGGTTGGGGATGCAGGGATATTGCTAATTAGAAATGGAATTCACAATAGGGAAATAAAAATCATCACGTTTATCAAACAGCTTGGTGGAAAGCTATTCCTTTGTAGGAAAAGATCATTGTAGGAAAAGATCGAGATAAACGACTGATTTAGAAAAATCTGTGTTGTCTTTGATTTCCAGTTCTAGTGAGTATATACAATGGACGTAATTATATCGTTTATTTAAAGAACTTTAATTAAGTGTGTTGATAATAACATTGCAGGTTGTTACATTACCTTGAAATATACTGTTGCTATATTGTTATTGTTGTTGATTTATAGATAATTACATAAATACAATGTCATTGTTATTACCTATTACCAGAATGGTTTGATCATCGGGTGACCAATGCCCACATGGACATTACATGGTCATAACATTGAACGATATGTTATGAAAAATTTCAAAATGATCTTTATCCGTTAACAGACTATAATGCTTGTAGATGAAATTTGTACATTTCTAATTCAAAATTATGCTAATGAAAATAAGGAAACTGTGTATACTTTAAAATGTCAAAAATCTGTAATTTCAAATTATATTTCATTGTAGTTTGAAATTAAAAGTATAAAAGAAGAATTCATCTTCTTTTTTCTTTCGCTTTCGAACCTATATTTGCAGGCAAGGCATACTAAGAGAATACACTGGATAAAAAAAATATTGTTTTCTATTGAGAAATTTTACCAGAAACAACAACGCATGGACGAAAATGAATGTTTGCCTGCAATTAGCATGCTTAAGTCTGTACTATCTCGGAAGGATGCGGAAAGACATTTTGGGGTGCACAAGAATTCAATAAATGCTTTGTGAAGGCGTTTTCAGTAGACAGGCACAGTACGGGGCCGCCACGAACAGGACGTCCCATGGGCGAGATAATATAAATGGAAGTCGCATTTGCGTTCTAGTCTTCTTCATTGACCGCTTGAAACGTTCCAGGAATTAGACAAATCATTTCCAGAATCGTTCAAAACAGAATGTGAGAGGCCAGCATCCGCTCTGAAAGTCCCGCTTTTTTTGTCCCGCTTCCCTACAACTGGGAATTGCGCAGTAAGCATGATGAAAGAAACATCTATGATTAACCAAAAGGGACTGGCCTGCAGTGCTATTAAAATATTATTTCAGATTTCACCTTCATAGCAGTTACAGTCGGGTTATGCGGGTGTAGACTCAGCCGGAATGACATTACACTGAAGCTATGTGTAATTCAGCTAAAGACTGTATCATTTCTATAGGAATTAACAGTTTCTACAGCTTTAAATTATCATAAGCCTTCACAATCTTTTAAATTATATGAACAAAACGTTAATGTAGTATAACTTTTTATAACAGTACGCTAGGATATTAGGCCTGAATGTTTTGATAGATTAGACAATATCAATTCACTCCAATAAATTCATACAAAATTCTTCTTCGGCGACATTAATTGATTAGCGGATTGGTTTATTTATTTCACGGCTACCAAAGAGCACTGACAATTTCTCAGAATTATGCAGAGTAGGTAAGCCAATCGCATCCTAAGTAGCTTACCCCTTTAACTCAACCATGAACTCGGAATAAAATGGACATTTAAAACAATTGACACTCAATTTCTAAACCTAACAACATTAAAAGCCATCAATCATTCATATTGTCCGTTTCAGTACTAACTGGGGCTGCACCAGTCCCGAATTGACCTAATGTATCTACGGAAAATTAGGTATTTCTCCACCTCAAGCTCTTCAGTTGTTTACTCGCTGTCCTCGCTGTTTAAATCTTACTCTATTTATATATCAACAAAGTTTGCCATACTCTTTATTTATCACGTATCAGGCGTTCTTTATGGTGACAAAAAGACTTGATATCTTTATCTTTCACACACAACATATTCATTAATTTTAAAACCTGCTTACAGATGACCTATGTCTAGAAGCAACTGGTGTCCAACCGAAATTGAGGCATATTAGATTTGAAATGAGCTATCGCATGTATTGAATTTAGGCTCGACGGCGACGCGCAAGCTGGGCACTGCCGCCATGGCACTTTTTTCAAAATATTTTCAAGACTTTTCCTTTGAAGCAGTATGCATTTGAAAAATGTTATGTAA